GACAGCAACTGCAAAACTATGAAAAACAAACTATAAAGTAAGGAATAACAATGTACCTAGCAAATATAAAAGAACCATGATCTGCAACATCATCTCTGTCAAGTGCACTCACCTGGACATGGTTGTTCATTACAGGCCTCTGTTTCCACACTTGGCCCCAGATCTTGTTCTTCACATGTTTTCCCACCAAACTGTGGTTCAGGACTGTCACACAGACGATTCCTCTCCCGCACCCCACCCCCACAAGTCACTGGGCATTCACCAAAGTCACTCCATTTCCCATAACCTCCATTTACTGCAAAGATACAATAACTCTATTACTTTTTACACCACTACAACAAATACAATCACAAGAAAAGATCTAAACTTTTTCCTTTTTTAACCAGAATAAATAAAAAGTCCATCACGTGAAAAAAACAGTGAAAAAATATTGATGTTAGCGCTCTGTGGGAATCTCTTAGAGAAAATGCACCGCAAGGCACCAACATTAATTTTTTCCACTAATTTTTTTTGAGTTGTGCAACATACTTTGCCATAGAGAAGGAACTGCTCATAGTCTAGATAATTTACTCTTTCCCATTTTGCCACTTCCAGATGGAAAAAGACACCGCGACAATACTTAAAGTGGGTTGTCAGAGAACACATGTGCAGTAAACCTAACCAAGGAGTGAAACTTGACCACAGCTTGATTTAGAGTCTACCAAACATAGGTTACCAAGTCTCCCAGAATTCAGCAAGAAACCTATGCTTTCATGATTGAATCCTTCAAAACTGTTGTCACACATGTTCACTATTACAAAGTAAAGAAAAAAGCCTAAAAATGTCAGATAACCATAATTAGACTTGAATCTCACCTGGACATGCCCCCTTGTTACACATCCTTGATTCAACATCCGATCCAAGTTCCAACTTTTCACAACTCAACCCACCAAATTTGGGTGCTGGGTTATCACACTGGCGTCGCCGTTCCTGTACACCTTCACCACATGTCACAGAACATTCACCAAAATCTGACCAATGGCCATAGGCACCATCAACTGTACAACATATACATAATTAACTTCAACTGCATTTTGGTTGGGTCAAAAACCAAATGAGGCAGATGACTAAGTTTCAGTTTGATGGATTTGGCCTCAAAATAGAACCTTTTTGCAAAAAGAACAAACCCAGTTTATGGCTCAGTTTGTCATGCTATAACCACAAAATAAAGAAAAGAGGAGAACTGTAGAGTCCAGGAAAAATGTATGGGTACAAGTAACAAGCAAGACCATTAAATATACCTTTTCCCCATAAGTGACTACAAATCTAGAGGGGCCAGGTTATTGAAGGGATTTCAAGGGTGGAAAACCTCCTGTTTTCAGAAATTGTTTCTGCCCTCCCCTTTTCATTTAAAATATTCTCCCCCTTTTGTAAGCTTCCTTGAAGAAAGTACATATTTTATTTGCCCTTGCAAGAGGTTTGCATTCATTTGTGATGTTGTGTGGTTTTCAAAGCTGTTCAGTCACTTCTCTGACATTACAACATTTCATTGTGTTCTTTGATATCACATTTCCTTCACTGTGTGGTATAAAAATCTAACAATTTATTCTTGACAATTTTCCACCAACTTTGATTTCAAAATGAAGGAAATAGCATCTTGGAAGCATATATTTTTAAGGTGAATCATACCCTCAGACAAATCTTAAGGGCAGCACTTTTGTCCCTTGTGGTCTCAGCCACTCCTGAAACCTTGCTTTTTTATTTCAAAAAGTTGAAATCTCTGTTACTTGCAGGTGAATGGTATCACCAATACATCATATAAGCTTCCATGAGATAATTCACCTATATCTGAATATCAGATTTGTTTTCTCAGACATTCTAACAGCACAATGAAACAGCCTAAAACTTTATCATACCTGGACAAGGGTTCATGGCACACATGAAAGTTTGCCTGTCTTCTCCGAGAACAGAGCAGTTATTACCCTCAAACCGTGGTTTAGGATTGTTGCAGTACCGTGTTCTGAAGCGCACCCCTGTTCCACAGGACTTGGTGCATGTTGAGAACACTGTCCAATGTGAATATCCTCCATCCTCTGCAACAAGTTAAAATAACAGATTTTTTTACTATCTTAAAAGCTAGTGTAATTATAATACAACCACTACTAGCTCAACAATACTGATGTCTGACTTGTTTTAAAATAATAACTCTGACTTGCAATGTCAGCTATTTTACATTACAATTAAAGTACTTGATACTTAAAGCACTTAATTTGATAAAGAGTTTGACTATAACACTAGATAAACGGAGGGCTTTTGCGACAGACCAAGGGCATTGAGCATGTCACAGAAGCTGTAAATTCAGAATATGTAAAAACCTTATAGTCAAGGGGAATAAGTTCTTGCCACATGAAAGTCTGTGAGAGCAAAAACAGGGGGCTGAGGGACAAGGCCAACGCTGAGCAGCTGTGACTGGATCAGGGCAGGAAGCTGGTATAAGGTTAAGGGGAGTTTTACCACCTGTTCCCAAAACTGAATGATTTTGCTCCACCTAATAGTCAGAAGAGCCCCCCCCCAATGAAAAAACTGTCAGTAAACCTGAGCAAAGAGAGGAGGGGGTCAACAGAGCCTGCAGAACTAGGTAACACTGATGGCTTTTCTAAAGCATTCTAGCAAACGTGACAAAACAGATTGTCCAGAAAGAGGCATCAAAGCTAGAATGCAAATTATGCTTGGCATAAAAATGGCTTTTAAGAATGCAAATGAAGTATATATAATGCACTAAAAAGACAAGCATCAGAGAAACTGATCTTAAATCAGTTAGTAATCCCTAATGTACCATGCATGACTGTACTTGCATTAGGAAAACTAACTAGCAAAAGTCTGGAGATGTTTAAGTACCAGCAGTTGTACTAAGTAGATTACCTTGATTGTAATTATTGTCTGTACCAATTTACCATGTTTGTCATTAAGAAGAACATCACTCAATCATGGGTAATGTTTGGCAATATAATATCCACAAAGCTTTCTTTATTTACAGAATGGTTTTAACAACATACAGTAACAAATTTACAACATAATTTACAAGCACCTGAGCAATTATACCAAAACAATTATTTAACTCAGGGTCATTAATTTTGCTGAATAATCCCATTGACTTCATCTCAGGGATTATTCCACAATATTCACTTTGCCTCTCACAAATAAATATTGCCTTTGGTGTTAAATACTGCATGATGTATATGACAAATAGTTGTTATTGCTCAGAATTCAAAATACAATCAATATGTCATATCATTTATTCTGATGGAAAAATTACTTCTTCAGGGAATTAGTGCTTTCGATAATGTCCCATGAGCAATAATCGATTATTATAAAACAGAGTAAATAAAAAATTTAGTACTGTAACTTTAAAGAATGTGAGCGTGGAAATAATATTATAGCAATGTGAAGAGTGTGTTGCTTCGAGTCTACTAGAGCTTAGGCCGATCAAAAGAGCCATGGTTGACAGATCTAATGAGGGTATACAAGAAAGATTGGTAAAAAAAGGGAATAATTTATATGTAATGACATAATTTGAGACTATCATGGTCTGTATATTGTGAGATTTAACGTCACTATCCTGGTTGGTATGATTATAATATAAATTAAATATTAACCAAAATTATTCCTAATAAAAAGTTACTTATGTATATAAAAAAATAAATATATAAACATATTTATAGAGATATAGCTCTTGGGCATACAAAGCTTTGCTTTCATGTCCAAATTGAGCACTCTACCTAGGATGAGTCATTGCTGTTGCAAATGCACATGCTCACTAGTTCACTCTAGTTTGAGCACTCTGGCATGGCTTAGACGACACCACAAATGTTGGGTCGTTTGGGGTGAACCTCTCGGTTCTCCTCCATTTTAACATCCACACTGCACTGATGAGGCCCAGAAGGCCGAAACAGTACTGTCTGCAGTTAAACATATATATATATATATATATTTTTTTTCCTATTGTACGATTTTACGCCGTTAGTTAACGGCGTAAAATCTCGCAATATATATAACACCGACTGAACGAAATTACGCCGCTAGTTAACGGCGTAAAACCTCCCAATATATATAGGTAACACCGACTGAATGAAATTACGCCGTTAAAAAAAGGGACAAAAAATATCAAATATTGAAATAATGTTGAATTTAAGCTCAACTAAATTTTTATATACCAACTTTGTTACCCAGCGAGCAGGAAAGTCTCTAAATCGTCAACAATTTAACAGTCTTAAAAATATAAACAAAGCAAAGAATTATACCTACCTCTTAAAACATACCGCACAAAATTATGAGAAACATAAAATATGGCTGACATTAAAGCCACAATTGTCAAAACTTGCAAGACATTTCGAGCCATAATGTGGCTTTATTTCCCTGAGAATATACTAGACGTAAGATTTGTGCTTTTGTTCAAGATCAATCGATAACAATGTCACAAAATCAAGTTTGCTTACCTCATCTGCAACGTGGTCGAAAGTTTTCATATTAATGTGAATATTGCCGTTCCCCAAACAACCAAGGCATCGAGAGAAAAATTCTAAGTGGAAGGTCTCGAAGGATTGTCAATGTATTATCTTACACTTGTTACCAACCTGTTTATACGTATAACCACTGACAAGATGTTTGAGATGCTGGCTCAGAAATAGAATGTCAACAAAAATGGTCACGCTATCACGCTATTTTAGGATGCGCACATTATTTATCAGAAGGTGTATTCTTAGTAGAGCGTGTGCCAAGCTCTTGATACTTTTCGAAAAGCCGTGCATATTTTCTCCAGAAGTATGTCTATGAAAGCTCTGATTGTTGAAGAGTTCGGCGACTCGTCGAAGCTCAAGTATAGTGAGGTTCCCAAGCCCGAGCCTGTAGAAGGAGAGGTAAAAAAGCTCAAATCCATCTTCCCCCAACCATAAACTGTTTTGATGTTTGCGCCTATTTTCACGAGTGGCATTGATGAATAATTACGGTGCTTTAAGTTTTTAGTGATCATGTAATTAGAGCTAAAATAATATTTTTCTACGGGATGAGTTTTCACAACAAACCTGATCTGTGTAGGATTACCGAGACGCAAAACATAAGGAGCGTATGATAATGACGATGACGGTGCAACTTGATTGCGCAGCTACACTTAGCTGGTTAGCAGAGTTATCGCATACCTGATTGCAATTGCAAACCACATACTAGGATCCCACAAGATGCTTTGATAAAATTAGATAAAAGTGTTTTTTTTTTTTTCTTTTTTTATAACTTAAAACGTAATGAAGTGCTTGATTGCAAAAAATTAATTCAGTTTGTTAAAGCTAGAGAACGAGGCATTATGCAAATATTTTCTATTGTTATTACTGATTTGTCAATTAGCATTTGAAGTATTTTCAGCATTCCTGTATCTTGGTGGGGTGTGAAAGCTGCAAAAATTTAGATTACCAGTGCCTCTCCTCCTAGTGTTCAGTAAACACAAACCAGCTAAGGACCTCTGCAGCAATATCATCGTTGATTTTGCACAGAACAACTTATAATTTTAACTTTCATACTTATCACTGAGGAGTTACATTGGCAGAATAATATGATTTATTCTGTGTCACCTTTATGAAGCCATGAAGTAAATCTCTGCATTACCATCCTGGGTATCTTTCCCAAAATTCTGACCAGCTATATGACAATTTTTCCGGATTACCTGAGAATCCCCTAGAAAAAGAATCAATCTCCTGACTTCCCAGCTAACAGTTTGATAGAATTTAAGTCTTACATTTTGAGTTTTTCAACTTTTAAGTCTTACATTTTTATAATTATCTAATGATTGGTTTAACCATGTTTAACCAATTTTTGTACATGTTTGTGGGGAAAGACTGCTGAAAAGTGGTCTAATTTGACAACATTAGGGTGTGCAACATTTTCCAAAACCAAATATCTCTTCACGAAGTTTTATCATGTATGAAATAAATCATAGTAGCTTGATGTTAAAAGTTGTTCTTACCATATTACCAGGTTTTGGTAAAAAATGAGATTTGTGGCTTGAACTACCTCGAAGTCATGATAAGGGATGGATATTTGCCACTTGAAGCTCTAGGATCAGGGTTCCCTTTGACAATGGGAGTGGAGGCTGCTGGAGTAGTGGAAAAAGTTGGTGCAAATGTCAGTGGTGTGACTAAAGGAGAGAGGGTGGCATATGCAGTTGTTGGATCTGGTAAATAAGTGATTTATTTGTGGATTCTTTAGAATGACCTTGAGTGACCACCTCTTGCATCTGATCACCTATAAGCAACTAGTTTTCCAGAATACCAAAATGTTGTATGTGAAATGGTTTACAGATACCGGTATATATTTGAATTGATTATGACTCAGAAACTATTTCAGGCCATGTTTGCCAAGAATCTGTGATGTGTACTTTGCATAACTATATAAGCAAAAGCTGTATGATGTCTGTAGCCATAGCATTTCTGTAGTATGGGTGACCTGTTTAACTTCATTCCTACAAAAGCTTGTAAAAGCCAAGTGATCCAGTTTCCTTAGGTGATATACTGACCAGTATGTATCTAAAATCCTTTTGGGACACCCTTCGACTTTTCTTGGTGCAAATATTTGCTCTGCTCTAATGTACTTCCCACTCCTTCCCAGAAAAGACCAATGATCAAATCAGCTTTTCAGGAACTCTTTCAAGACAACCAACTCATGGTTTCTGAAGATGTGCACAATCAATACAGCCAGGGAATCGCATTTTGAAATTGATCCTTATCAAGTCCTCAAAATTATTAATTAAAAATAATGATAATAGTTGAAACAAGATTAATGTTAACAATAATAATAATGATAATAGTAATGATCATGAGATGAAAATAGTGTGAATAATAAGGAGGTTACAAAGGAGATCTTGATGATGATACAGTAGACTAAAAATACCTGATTAATAACTTTCTTGGATGAATGCCTTATTAATTCCCTACGGTAAAAAAATACCAGAAAAGTTAAAATTAAAAGTTCTGGCTCAACTTCTACATTCAGACCTACTTATGTTAACTGTTTATGTCTAGATTTGAATTTAAAAACAAATTTCCTGCAAAAGTTTCTCAACTGTTTTGATCATCAGGGGCACATGCTGAATATGCCAAAGTGTCAGCATCAAGACTGGTGAAAGTTCCAGATGAGGTTAGTTTTGAGCAAGCTGCTACTTCGATGATTCAGGGGTTGACTGCACACTACCTTGTGCATACAACTGGCAGAGTGAAGGCTGGTGACAAAGTGCTGATACATGCTATTTCTGGAGGGACTGGGTCACTTGTTTGTCAAGTAGCAAAGAATGCAGGTAATAAAAGTTTGCTAATTGGAGATATATGCGGTGGAACCTCTTTTACGAGGATACTCTCATGAGTAGAAAACATATTTCCTGAGAAGTTGTCCCAAAAGAGGTTTAATTGCATAGCCAGAAAATTTTAAACTTATGTTGTGAAAAAAAGCAAGATGGTATCACTCCCAAGTGCTTTTCAAGTGAAGCTCTCTGAAGGTAGTTTGTAGGGAAACTTGATATTGAATAGTGAGTTTATGACAAGAAAAATCACAGCATTATGCATGAAAGTCTAGAGGTTTACTTTCCTCTAAAGAAAGTTTCATTTAGCTGGGAAAAGAAGACAGCAGTTCAACAAATACTGTTAACTTGTTGAAGTCAGTTGCGTGAGGTAAATGAAATAGGTTCCTCAACTCTGGGTTGGACTGCTGTTAGTCTATCTAATTTATTTAGTCAATTGTTCAGTCAATTTAACCAAGATTTAGAAGGTGAAATTCCTTTGAGTTCCTGCTTTCAAAATCAACATTTTTCAGGAGCTTTTGTGATCGGAACAACCAGCACTGAGGCCAAAGCAGCGAAAGCGAGGGAGGCTGGTGCCGATGAGGTCATTCTTTACTCACAGAGAGATTTTGCAGAGGAAGTAAACAGGATCACTGATGGAAAAGGGGTGAATGTTATTTACGATGGAATTGGAAAAAAAACCTTTGAAAAAGGTATGATGTGGATCAAACATCAAGAAGAATATTTGATAGATTTGATAGAAGTACAGGCACAATTACCTGACTTACCTCAAGTCAAAATATGGTCACGCTAGCACGCTATTATAGAATGCGCATTCTTAGTAGAGCGTGTGCGATACCCTTAATACTTTTCGCAAAGCCTTCCATATTTTTCCTGAAGTATGTCTATAAAAGCTCTGATTGTTGAAGAGTTCGGCGACTTTTCGAAGCTTACGGAGGTTCCTAAGCCAGAACCTGCAGAAGGAGAGGTTAAATCTATTTTCCCCTTCTCTAGAAATGTTTCAGGATCAGTATTGACAACAAACCTGATCTGTAGAGGAAAACCGCCAAGGCCAATCACAACGAAGGGTAACATCATTATAGACGGGAAAACGCGGTGGAACAAGAGGCGCTTGATTTTAATTTTGCATTCGATTGATCGAGTTGTTGGTGCACGTTTTCTGGACCAATCAAAGACCGTAGTGAAAAACACCAATGCAATTCCTGGATTTCTTTCATGACTCAATTGAAAACAGCAACAATTTTTTGTTTAACTTTTTTACCCTTCTCTGACAACCTGCGAAAAGGCGTTCCTTCATAGGACGAACCAAGGCTGTTGGGTGTTTCTACAAAAATGCTTTTCTCAAAAAAAATTTTTTTTCAAACCACTCCAAAACATCAGATCTAGGAAATACGAATCATTTGTTGACTTATCAGTCGTATTACAAACTGCCTTTCATGATTGTGAGATTCACGAAAAGAGAAAACTCGTGCCCTTTCGCGATTCAAGTAGAGATCAAAACATTTTCATAAATCGCGAAAACATCCCTCTTAAATCTCAATAGTAAATTCGCGGCGGGGCTTTAACAGGAGCCATATATCTCCAGCCTTCTTGTCTTGTTTCTTCTTAGACTTTGAATGTTTGGCTATCCAAGGAATCGTGGTGTCTTTTGGACTAGTTTCCGGGCCCCCTCCCCCAATTGATGTAGAGAAACTCGCCAAAGGTTCCTTCTCCATCTGCCGGCCGATGCTGTTCCACTACATTGCAAACAAAGAAGATTTGGAGTGGCGTAGCTCTGAAGTTTTTAATTGGATCAAGACAAACAAAGTGAAGTTTGGCGACTTTACTGTATTACCACTGTCCGAGGGAAAGAAAGCTTACGAGTTGTTGGGAAGTGGAAAATCTACAGGAAAAATCTTGATGAAGCCTTGAGCTGAAAATATTCGAGCAGTTAATCTCAAAGTAGTAGTAGATTATAGGCTAAAATAAACAGCATAAAATGTAACCAGCCTTTATATTAATATACTTTTGCGTAGGGATTTTTTTAGCGCGCTTTTAAGGCAAAAACTATTGGTTATTAAGGTATATTTAATCGAGTGCACTTCTTCTAGCGGTTAGCCTGTCGAACGGTAATGCTAGTTATCTTGTGAGGGTAAAGATTTCGTACCTCAATACCTCATGATTTAATGAGAATAGTGACTACTGCATTAAACTTAAAATTAATTGTCGCGTGTGGGTGGATAGTAAGTTAGCTACTAACTAGACAAATGAGAATTCCGCAGTTATACCCATCCTTCTGTTTAAAGTGCACCGGCTCGATGTGAGGCCGTGATAGAGAAAGCCAGCCCGATTTGGCGCCAGCGACCTCACTACTAATATAATGACAGGCAAGTAAAGGGTTACTTCATTCTCAAAGTGACTGCCGTTTTAAATTGAAGGAGCGGCTTTTTTCACTTACGACTTTATAATTTTACACTTGTTATAAGCACTGAAAGTAGACATTGCATGCCTATCGTGTTCGCTCCTCTGTTGGCAGAACAGGGCAAGTCATTAAGTCATGTCTACAGTACTTAGTCGCTACTAGATAAGTAGGGTTTATTATATTACTGCGAGGAACGCTTTCTTACATTTCATGAAACCGCAGTACAAATATATGATTTTCATATATTCAACTTCATTGAGTCGCCACCATGATTACGTATTCTAGTCAAAAACTGTCTTCAGTTTTAAAATGTCATCCTTTCGCGAGATTTCGCAATATTGGCAGGTTTCATAATTTCCCCATTGACCAAAATTACTGTTTACTCTTGATGCTCTATCGAAGGGTACCCGAGAAGAAGTCTACGGATCCGCAGACCGCCACAGCGTCTTATTGAAACTGCGTGGTGATACTGCCAAGCCGACCACAAGGTTATGCTAAAAGAACCTTTCGATGATTTTGTAATCGTACACACTCAGAACCTTTTGGGCTGTTAGAACCTTGTTTATTTATTAGAACCTTGTTTATGTTCTAGCTGTTTTAAGAAGAGATGTCACGTTGGGACGTTATGCATGACACGCATGCTCTTTAGAACCTTATTACATTTAACTTTGAACGGCTCGCACGCGCTTCGCTTTTCCGACTCAGATCTTTTGACACTGCTTTCACTCTCAAGAGATCATATTCTCCAAGAGGGCGTTTCAGAAGAGAGGTGTTTGGCTTTCAGAACACTACCAAAGTTACTAGCAGTAAGACAGCTCCTCCTTGCCAAATACCAGGCAGGGGTGTTATGCTGGCCAACAGTGATCCGACTGATTTTCAAGATGTCTTCATCAAGTATTCTGGATCGTCGAACTAGACAGTCCAGTTCTTGTTGACGCCCTCTGGTTTGGAGAAACTATTCTGAAAATATATCTTCTATTAGATTCAATGAATATATGAAGTTCATATATTTTGAACTGCGGTTGTAGATACGTATGATGCACGATCCTGTATCATACATATCTTCTATTGTTGGAATTAGTAGTTTACTAACAGGAGGTGGCTCTGGGCTGAGCAGCTAGAAAAGGCCTGTAAACCTTCCATATTGTTTAAGGTCTTCATTCATCTGTGCTCTGTCAACTTGTACTGGCTTTCTTCTCAAGGCAGTGTGTTTCATTTAGTAAGTAGGCGTTACCTTTGATGACAGATATATTTTAATTACACGGCTCGTGATTGACATTAATTCCGTACAATGATATAAGTATTAGCTTATCATGTTTTAAACCAGTTTTCAGAAGAATCAATAAGAGAGAGAAGTCGGTTTTTATACTCTGTTCGCTTACCTGAATCTGCTAACCTGAAGAAAGAAACCTGTTTTTACCACCCACCACAGAAGTAAGTGTCCAATCACGTTTTTCTTGAATTTTGCTACGAGATTAAGACTTCGTTTGCGTTTTTCTGATTTCGAATTACAAATGTATTTCTCCTAGATCGAATAATTATTAAAACTTGGATGATATTCTAAGGTTTGTGGTCAGGTCGTCTGAGCTGACCACTTCCGAGTAAGGAAACACAGTGTACTTCTTAAATGGAGGAAGAAACTTTGGTCAAGAGGAGCTAGATCCACGTCTTTTTAAACCTTTCCGTGATATGAGTTTATCTTGAATGAGTTCTGCATGTTCACGTTTGGTTTGTCTATTCCTTACGTAGTATTACATTTTGTCTGAAAAATTCTTAAACTATAGCGGATATCCTTGCTGAAAAGGCAATTTTAACAATAGTAAAACCTCCTCTAAAGCCTTAACACCTGGTGAGAGGCACCACATCGACCAAAAAATGACTATCCTCATATTTCAGTCAGAGATGCCTCATGGTGAACTTAGAAACGTGGTAAGTTTTTGTTTTTGTTTTTTTTTTTTTTTTCACAGACTTGCTTCGTTATCCTAGAAAATCTGAAACGAGCTTTGGTAGTCGGAAAATGTCGGAAATCAATGCCCCGAGAGGAGGCAAATGAACTTTACTCATGAAAAGCGCAAAAGAAAGCAAGCTGGTAGCAATTGGATAAATTTGGGTAGAAGGGATTGAGGTATGTTTAAAGTCTAAAACGGGACCAATTCATTAAATTTGGAGCTCACTTATCTTTTTCCCCATGCCAGAATCGGTTTAGGTTAAGCTCGTGATAAGTGGAAATTGTATTGATTTCGAGGGTATGAAAATTAGTTTGGGGCTTTTCATTTCAGCGGGGAAACCAGGCTGAACTTGCAGAAAATCGTAATATTGATCGTCACTTAAGTCACGACATAATCTAATCAAACATCCCGTCGTTAAATCCGGAATTCCAAGCACATTTTAGCAGTTAGCACCTTGTTCGATAAGGTACCTAGTACAGTAGGCTGACCTTACTGAAGCGACTTAAGAAGGCGGGAGTTGATAACATTTACAACAACAACAAAGACAAGTGAGGTTGCCAATGCTTCCACGATGGAGATCAGGAGAAAATTAATCGTAATAACAGGAACAAAATTGAAATAATTTCAGCCTTGGGTGACAAATGCTTGAGTGTGTTACATCTACACTTGTAACAGTTTGCTTCCCTTCTTTAAAGTGTTCGGAAAAGAACATTTGACCTACCGGTGTAAATGATTGAATTGTCCGCTTTCAAGTCCACAATGAAGATTAATTTTTACCCTTAAACTTTCTTAAAACTTAAATGAGTTCGAATGTACAAAAACAGACGACCTCTGCTAGCTTACGAAAAGTGTTATTAGAAACAATTTCTTCATGGGAAAAGGATGACAGCTTGAAACGAAAGCAGAGATAAAAACCAATCTGTCGTTGTTAGCTTCGCAAGGTTACATGTAGCCCGCGAAGCCGACGCATTTCCGGTTGTCGCCAGAATCGAAAACCACCGAAAAGTCTGCGTTCACAGACTGATTTATGACGTAGAAAATTATCATGATGGTGATAAAAGAATAATAGGAATGAAAATAACGATATCAGTAATAATATAATTATTAAAAACCGGATTATTGGATAATGCAATTCAAGACTTTTTATTAGCTTAGCCATTATGGTCTATGAGCCAATATACCATTATCTAATATCTGTACATTGTAACGTCCGGTTTCTTCTTACAAAATAAAGTCGAGAAGAGTTGTCTAATATCTTGGGGGCGTTTTTTTAAATAAAACAATTATTCCCCTCGCGCTTGTTGGATATGAGAGAATTATAGCCAACATGGCGCTAAGCACCTTGTTGGCTATCTATCATCTCATATCTAATAAGCGCGAGTGGAATAATTGTTAAAAATATTTACAGGAAATGAGAACAAAAACCGCTGACCGTATATTATGGTTTCGTAGCCTAAACAGGAGGGAGACCGACAGGGCTGAGTAATGAAATGTTACGTCAGAGGGTATGCGGTCATCAACGCGGGCTCAAGTGTTCTTTGTCTAAAATTTGGCGAAAATAATAATGGCTGACATTTAAAACCGAGGAACTTTTTTTTTCGTCAAAGGCACTTTCCTATCTCCAGAGGTTTTAATGAGAAAATTAATTTTCGAAAATTTTTAGGGGGTGTACCAAGTTTTCAGAGGTTGTTCTGTAAAAGAACAGCGGCAAGGAAATAGACTAACCTTGCAAACTAATCAAAAATCCGTCTTTCGCGGCAAAACCTAACGCATGCGCATACGTTATTTAGCTCTGTCAGGGAGACCGGGAGACACGTGACTGTGTCTGGGCAACACGGGTGAACAAGTGTGTAGGTCAGTTGGTGCTGTCCTCGGCTGCAGTGGCTGGCGGCATTCGCGTAAGTTTTAGATGTCAGGGTAAGCCAGATTTTGTAAAGGAAACTTCCGTTACTCAGTTCATACCTCGTCTTGCACGAACATGTGGCGGCAACATATAGGTGTAATAGAATATTGCGTTGGACTTCAAACATGACCTCAGTAGCTTTCGAAACCTACTTTGAAGTCATTTGAAATATCTAGGTAATGACTATTTCTATTTTTTTTCAATGTGTGTGTCCTACTTGTAGGTTAAAAGTCCCTGAAGTTATGGAAGGAAGAGACTCGATCGAATGCTGGTGGTTGGAACTCTTGGGACGCAAATATCAATGCTTTCTAAAGGTTTGCGAACCACTTTCGTTACGTTAGTGTGGTTAAAGTTTCAAACCTACTATTATTCTAGTGCACTATTCAGACCAAGCTTCTCTTCTTTTGAGATATTTTTATGATTTTGTCGATTTCGGCGCCTATGGTTTATTTGAGATTGACAGTTGCATGATCGCCGCGAACCAACCCTCTGAAATTTCCGAAACAGTCTCGATAAATTTTTAGATTTTCTGTCATCGGCGTACGTGTTCGCCAGATCAGTCTTTGAGAAAGGTGAACAAAAAGGGGTTGATATTCTGTTGTTTGGTTTAATGCTCAGGATATTTCATCGGTATGTAGGTTGATATAGAGGTAGTTCTCACAAAACTTTGTCTGAAATGAACCTCACTATGGTTACAACCTGCTACACAGTGACACTGATGTATAAAAAGTAACAAAGGACAGAAAATCGTACAACTTCATCACAGCCAGTCCTTAGGTTTGGTTTTGTAAAGAATTAACTTCTATTTTGAAAATGTAGGCCGTTGTATACTGTTGTTGTCATCGAACTTTTCGCGGTAAAATCCACCATTTTGAAAATGGCCGGGTCAAGTTCTAACAAAACACGCAAGGTATTTTCTATTTCGTACGGTGAGTGTGGCAGAAGTTTAGTCACTTGTCTTACCTCCTTTTCTAACGTACTCTCTCAAGGTTGAAACCAATAATTTCTTCATGTATTTTGTAGCTCAATAAATAAACTCTAATTAGCTTTTGTTGCTCTTATCATTCAGACTCCAACTAACATGTTACGTACAATGCAAACAAACTTAACACATGGTGTCATCTTGTCATAGTTTTACCAGAATATCTGAAAGATAGTAATGCTGCGGCAAATCCTGTTGATAGTTTACGCAGTGATTCATAACCCTTATTTCTTATAGTTGTGTTTAATTGTGGGGTGTTTCCAGACCTAACATTTAAGAGCACCCTTCTCACCTTCAACGATATTCTGTCCAGGTACTGGATTGGGGATATAGTTGTCAAGATGAATTTTTTTCTATGGGGGGGGGGGGTTGTAATTAATGTTAAAAACTCTCATTGGTCCAAAGATATTAGTTTTGATGGCCTGTTTTCTAATTGTTTATGATTCGTTAAATACATCTTTGGAATACACAAACTTTCTCTTCTGCTCACTATCAATGGTAATCACAATCATGGTGCATGAAAGTCAGTGAGGATTATGTTAGCAGTTGAAAGCTTCGAAAATTCAAAAGGAATGATGGGAGAATGTGCAAAAAAAATATAACCAGCTAAGTTCAGAAGGCATTACTGAAATTATTGAAGCATTGCTACGGTAACATCTCGGGTTGTTGTTTTTTTTTTTGCTTTGATAGAAGTAAAGCCAAGGAAAGACATAATTAATGGTGGTTTTATTTGAAATAACTAAGATTGATATTTGATTGCATGGCAATCCTTAGATAACATTCGTAAAAACAAAGATAATGTATTTTAATAAAAATGTTTATAAATAGTTCAAAAATTAGTTTGAAACTGGAAAAATATAGAGTGAACAACTTAAAAAGAGTGACAACTAATAGAACTTCTTAAGTTAAACAAGTGGAATTCCCACTTTCACCTACAAAACAAATAATTGCAATTCATCAATAAAACCAATGGTTGCATCAAGTGTTGGAAAAATATTAACTCTACTTGGCAGTTTACAGGTGCCATTGGTTACAAAAACCATCGTTTCAAATTATTTGAAAATTAACGTGAATTTATTTTTAAAAATATAAATCTAACGACTTCAAAGACCTATTTACATTTTAGAAAGTAGTTCTAAATTATTCTCAGTCCATAAAAAGAGAACTGTTTATGATTTACACTGATTTGATCACCTCTTTGGCATTGAATACAACTGTTGCTTCAACAGTAAGAAGCAGTTCAGTGATATCATCATCACTAAGGTCTGCAAATTCTTTCACAAATTCCCCATCCTGTTTTGTTTTAATAGTATACAGTTATTTAATCATATCGTCAAATATATTTAGGGAAGTTGTGTCTTTCCCAGTGATGGTAAGAATACTGGCCATTATTTTACTACAGCATTTGGTCTTTAGTTGCATTAGGCCACACTCAGAATATTTGAGGATTTTCTTGTCTTTGGCCATAACTTTTGAGTGGCACTTGTTGTGGGTTCATTAAGATTGAACTTAGTTAATTCCTTCCGGTGGGAATTGCAGCTTCAATTGTTGTTTTTCTCTAATACAACATCTTCTCAATCTATCCTTAATCTGTCAGCCTCATTTATTTTGCTGGTTTTCATTAAAGTTGAATAGTTTGCACCATTAAATTCTTTAATGGTAACATTTGATATTTTGTAACATTTTCTTGATTTTATTTTACTTGTGTCCTGTTTCCACAAGACCAGCTGTGGAGATCCACTGTTATCTCTAAATAAGACTTCTTGTTTAGTTAAAGTTTTTCTGTGAACATTTGTAGTTTCTGCAGCACCATCTAATAAAATACAGCCAGTGATGTTGACCAGGGTATTATTTTCTCAACCTTGAATCTCCTCAACTGAGCTGTCTGTTGCTTCCATGGTTTCTTTGTTTATTTGCTGGAGGTCAAAATCTGTCTCATTTCCCATGGGGATCTTAAATTTTTGTTCTTTTGTTGAGAATCAATTCTTCCTTTTTGCTGTCTTATGGTTTTTCTTTAGTTGGAACTTCTGTATTTTAACAGGTGATAAAGACTCAAATTTGGGCTTGAGCACTGAATGCTTCTGTGGGGAGAAGTAAACAGTACAATTTACTTTAGTGTTTGTTTGAAAATTTAGCAAAACATATTGATTCATGTTTTTGCAGGTCTTTATATGTGACAGGCTATGTAAATAACCAACCATGATTTGTTCTGAAATAGAAGAACTAAATTATTGAATTTAAGTTGTTACTGATTAGATCAAAGGCATTGAATACTGGTATACTTAACAATTATTCCATGGGCGCGCGTTGGATGAGATGATAGATAGCCAATGAGGCGCGTAGCACAGCGTTGGCTATAATCATCTCATGTCCAACAAGCATGAGTGGAATAATTGTTTTATTAAAAAGGCCCCTAAGAAATTATTATTTTGTGAGAAGAAACCGGATTTTTTTTGCTCCCTTTTGATTTTAAACTGACGCGTACGCTTGCCATATTTGTAGATTATGGTATATTGGGTCATATACCATAATGGCTAAGCCAATAAAAAGTCTTAAACTGCATTATCCAATGATCCAATTTTTAATAAATCAAATTATGGCATACAAAAACAGAAGCCAAGGGATGAAATGCAAGAGTTGTAGACCCCATATTAGAGCAGATCACTATTCACTACTGGATGAGAACCTGTGAACAACTTGGTGAAATATCATCTGACACAGAAACACCCTGTGAAAAAACCTGTGAATTTTGCAAGGGCTAAATGTTGTTGAAAAATCACAAAATTTAGAACCTGTGAATTTAAAGAACTGTGAAAAACACGTGAAAAAATGTGTGAGCAAAATATGAAGAAATTTTGCTTTTAAAACCTTTGAATAAACTTGTGAAATAATCTCTGAAGAATTTCTCCGAAAATATGCTTAAAAAACTTGCGAAAAAACATGTGAGTTGCCAAATTGTAGATTTGGCTATCCAGACCAGTCTAAGAAATTGCAGGATTTGGTTGAATCTTGCATTTCTTTGATTCACCAAGCCAATCATCTCATTTGTGCGAACTTTGCAAAATGATGCACATTGAAATTGGCAGGCCCAATTGGTGGGCCCGATCTTGAAAATGTTTGTTTGCTTTGATACATTGTTTTTTGATAAATTGAAGCCGATTTTCATGTGTCTGTTTTGTTATCGATCATGAATTTCGTCATACGTAACATTGTCAAAGAAGCTGGGATCCACTTGTTTTGTGGATCTGCAGACTATTTTGACAATTGTCAATAACACGACACATTGAAAACTCACAATTTTGTTTTTTATGACAAGAAATTGTCAAATTGTCTGCTCTTGCTTGTTTATACATCACATAAATTATAAGTTCACGTGTCAGCTGTCTGCTTACAGATAATCAAAATTAGGCAATGAGTATGCAAGAATTTCTGTGGTTATTATTAAATCGTACTTTACTCATAATGGGGTTTAATTGGGTATGCACAGTAAAATTAAATGAAAATCCAAAGGTTCTAAGATCATGGAGAACACAAGTTTTTCCATGATCTGATTTTTTTCCTACAATTATGATAAAAATATCAATATAACACAAAAAATGTTGATCATTGACTCTTACAGATAATAATTTATGGTGGTTCTGAAAAGAGCCAGGTGGCTCTCAAAAGAACCATTTTATTTATTAGACATCACTCTCACTCATCATCATCAGTCCATTTTTATCTGGGTTTATCTCCCCAAAAACGGGGGTTGCTGGATTTTCCCCATTTTGGCAGCAATCTTTTTAACTCCCCTTCTCCATTCCACCCAAGCCAGGGTGTCCTTTTTCTCTAAGCTAATGCTCTTGCTCTCCTTCTCCAGTTGGATCTTCCACATCTTCATTGGTCGTCTTCGCTTCTTTTTGCCCTTCAATTGAAACTCCAATGCCTCCATCATCACTCCTCAACACATGCCCGTCCCATCGCACAGCATTTGTCGGTCTCAAATTTGATCACAAACTCCTTGTCACCTTCTGCCTCTCCCAAACTAAGTCATCTTCACTGCCATCGAGTGCACCCGAAATCTCACAGAAGTGGAGTGGTTTGGCAACCAAACTGGCTGGAATGTCGTGAAAAAAATGGTAGCAGTAAACATAAATGAAATTAAGGAACCACATTTTGTCAGTATCACGTGCTGTAACAAGTGGTTTAGAGAGCTTGCTGACTTTAACAACACTTCTTTCGGCAACGTTTGTGGTTGGAACATACCACAGCTTGCTCCTTGCATCTTGCTGAGGTCTGCCATAAAGGTTGACAACAGCAAAGTTATGGCATTGGCAAGCAAAGGTATGCTGGAAGAAGTGTTGTACTCTTCCAAAGGATGGTGTGGTGGTGCCTACAACTTCCAAAGAAACCCAAGATGACTTTGTGTACGTTCTTTCCCACTTCTCAGCCTCCAGCTCTTCTGCTCTCAATACCGAGGAAGCTCCCTTGCTTGCAATATGAATGAGGTGTTACTTGTTCACACAAGCATCACCCCCTTGCAACATTTGGCTTCTTCAGGGGAGAAGTGGTGGAATTCTGGTTGCCAGGAACACATGAGTGGAAAGGCAGACAACTTCCTGGCAAGTCTGGCACAGTGTTTTTCAGCCTCGAACATTGCTTCCAAGCGAGCAAATTTGGGGTACTTGGAATGGTTTAGAGCCATTAATTCTGCCAGTTAACCAAGGGTCTTTGTCTCTTCTGACAACGCACACATCAGTGGTTGCAATGATGTCTTTTCCAGATGTAATTGCAGCATTATCATTGGTCATCTCTTCTGAATATGAAGGTTTGAAGAGAGACATGCAAGTACATTGTTGTATATTTTCCAATACATTCCAATACATTCCAATACAACTGAATATCCTGTTTGCATTTTGTGATTGTCTGCACATTGCATCCTGTGTCATGTTCTCAGTTACATCAGCAGTGGTATATTTGAGAGCCATATTAACATGGTGAGTAAAATTCTTTCAATAGAATTAAATCAATCACATCTGTTTGAAACTAATACTACCTAATAATTGTTGTGAGATAAAATGGATCATTGTGAAGCACTCAGTACAGAGCAAAAGTATGAATACATGCATACAATACTTATTTGTCTGTGATGCGTATAACTGTTGCTTTAGCCAGCAGAATTAAAATTTTTAAGGTTAAAATAATAAATAAGCTTTTATTGAAAATTTATTAAGAATGTTAGCAATATTATTGCTCCCTTTATTTCATAAGTTGGATCCAACACAGCTCAATGGTGTTGAAGCTGTTGGTGTGGCAAAGTGAACCAAAGCTCTTTGTTATTTTCAGTAATGACCATTATGCAGGGATTCCGTGTTATAACATAACTTTCTAGCAGCTGGGAAACACCACATGACTAGCAATCTCCCAATATGTTATCTGTGTAAGGGATAAGTTTTTTTAAAGCGTGAAACATGAAATTTTGTTGGTGGCTTGCTGTATGCCCATGACTTCACTCTGAACTGTTACCATTCTTAAAGCCATAATAATTATCATCAAAATCAGCCAGTGGTCTTCCTAATGCTGCTGATTGTTGTGGGCTAAAGTCTTTGGAGTGTTAAGATATATGTATCATAATTATTGTATCTATCATAATACAATACTTAGATTTGTTGCGATACTGAGGAGTCACTGCCTGATGGCGAAAAAGCTGCACGAAGTGGTATGACAAAAATACTGTACATCAAAACTTGCTTCACAGCAACTAATTTTCATAAATTTCAGCCTATTCATGTAGCCTTGTGGGTACCCATCTGCACAAGTCTCTATAATCTATTTCATTCACAAGGTTTGCAATTATTTTTGGAAAGGAGTGATAACCTGCTCTTCCTGGGATGTGCAGAAAAGCATTTTTGATTTCTTACAATCCTGATGTACACTACTATCAATCAAAATACCATCAGGGACACCAATTAAACTTGCTATTCCCTGGGCAGACTCTTCTTTGAAATTTGGCCCAAGGAGATCCAAGATTGCCCTTAAAGAATGATTCTTGTGCCCAAGGAATGAATCCATGACTGCTATCATTTTCGTTAAGAAGAGAACGGTAGTGTATATGATAAAATCCTTTTTTTAAAATAAGAACTGCTATTAAAAAAAGGAAGCCCAGAGGTTAACCTATATTAGGGATCTCCTAAATAAATAAGAAAGAAAGAAATATGGCAATAAAAAATAAAAAAATGTACATTAAAATAGATGCAAGTTCATGAGAAAGTATATAAAAATCACAGAAATACCATTAAAAAGGTATAGAATGTCCATTCAGTAAATATTCATTTGATTCCTCAATTTTAGTTTAAACTTGTTGATATTTGGACTACAAAGCTCTCAAGTTGATTTGTTGGCAAAGAGTGACATCTACAATGGCACAGCTGTTGTTTGTGATGCTGCAGGCATCACCCTGCTAGGGGGGTCTGGGGGCATGCTCCCCCAGGAAATTTTGAAGACTGGAAGTAGCTAAGACGTGTTTTCCTTCTTTCTGAGCAGAAATGTCATGCTTTAAAAGTAAGTAATTAGATCCCAGAATTTTCTTTTTATTGGACCAATATTGACTCTTTCTTAAAGTGCTACTGAAACGGAATTTTCGTATCTGAAATTTTTGCTTTAACCTGTAGTTTTGAATATCCTGATCATCATGAGATAATTTGCTTTGGCCAAAAATAGGCGAAAGATATCTTTTTTAACCGTTTAAGTAAAAAATTTTACACAAAACCATATCCGGGCTCTGGTACCGAGCGAAATGGATTGATGACATCACTGGTTGTGCTCACTCCGATAGCGTGATTTATTTCACTCACTGTTTGTTTATATTCGTGGGCGAAGGAGATGGCAGATATTGAAATTTTGTCAAGTGAATCTTCTTCTGAACGAAGCGAAGTTGTCTCCAGTAGCGAAGAGGAAGGTGGTGCCGTAAAATGGGGTTGACAGGCCTACATGACTCCCCAGCGAGTGTTTAGAGTAGCCTATTCAAAGTTTAGCCCTCACGAGTATGGCTTTGAGCGACCGCTCTCTTTTGTAAGATACGAGTGGCGGATTTTTGTATAGCTTGCTCAGTAGTGGTTGTGTTTCTATTAAATGCCAGTTTTTCATGAGAATTTGCTTTGTGTGGCGCTGAGTACGCACATCAGGGATTGCGTCTTTTTCGAATGGTTTGCTTTTGTAGATGTAGAGCTATTTTTTTGACTGTCTCGATCGTTAAGTTGTATTGATTGCTTTCAGCTTGCGCCACGCACACTGATTTGATCGTACTACAGTTCTTAATATTCAGTGTTCCAGCCGTTTTGGCTCGTTTTCTTTTCTTTATTTCGGTATTAAAACGACTGATTTCACGTTCATAGAAGCACATGATTGCCTTTACTGTTTCTTGCTCCACGTTGTTAAGAATTTGCTTTATCCCATTTTTGAAATCCTCGTCTGCTCTTATTTTGGCCCTCGCCCTATATTGTAGGGAATCTGGGCATGTTCTGCTAGGCATTTGGTACACTCATTTGGTTAGAGCGCTGGACTGTTGTGCGGGAGGCCGAGGTCGATGGTTCGAGCCCCAGCTGGACCAACACTCAAGGTCTTAAAATAACTGAGGAGAATGCGCTACCTTTCTATAACATCAAGAAATGGATGGACATTCTAGTCTTCTCAGATAAGGACGAATAAACCGTAGGTCCCGTCTCCTGCATCTATTAATTAGTTAATTTGGTTTGGCAGGGGACATTAAAGAACCCACTCACGAGATTACTGTGATGTGGTCTGGTCTGTTTACTGGGAATTGGGGGGAGGGGGTATCTTCAAATAAGTTTCCTTCGATTGTTTGTAAACTGCTGATGCAGTCCAGCCAAAGTCCCCCGAAAAGTGTTGTGATGCGCCTTTGATCATATCCACATGTTAATTTGCGCAATATAAAAATATAATTATTAATTATAGATTTCAAAGTGTGTGTGAAGGTTATTCCAGCTTAAAATCTTGTATAAATAACATAACTGCACCTCAGCATTGGGCAAGAACATTTAAAGCCCTGCAATTTGCCAAACACAAAGTCGAACAAATAGCATTAATACAAAGTGTATTTCATTGGTAAGACTAGGTCCTTACTTTCTCTTGGATGTTGGAGTTTGGTTGTCTGAGAAAGTTTGTGATCACCGGTTTTGCATGTTCCTTGGCAAGTGTAGTGTGCTCATCGCTAGCAATTTGGCGCTTAAGATCTACTTCTCCTTGATGGGCACATGACAAAGTATGATTGCAAACGTTACAGTGAAATAAAGATTTGTCTGAAGTGACAGAAGAAACAAAAGGGTACTTCACTATCCAGTCTTTTTCCAACTTGCTTTTGTATTTTGCTGCTTCGGCATATTTGGCCTTCTTCACGACAGGAGAGTTGCAGTCCTACTCTGAACTGGAATCCGCCATTATATGGTCTATTTTACCAGGTCAGCATGTGAACATGTGCAATAGTGATGAAACCCACTGGCCAGAGAAACGCTGGCTCTGGACAAGAATAAAGTGTTTGAAGCGAGTATAAACTAAGCGATATCATAAAATTCAACAGTTAAACAAGACTTACCTGTAAGGTGAAGTTTGATTGGAATTCTACGAGTCATTGGTCAGGAGTGTAGGAGTCACGTGAGACTTAAAAGCCTGTGGGATTAGGAGCCATAAGAAATAACAAAAGAAAGGAAACAACAGTAGTAAACTAAACTAAAGCGATTTGTATTGCTGTACAAGATGCATATAACAAGACCTTAAGAGG